GAAGGTAACTTGGGCAGGCTGAGCATTGTTTCTAAGACGAATGGCTCAGCCCTACGCTCACTTATGAAGATTAAGCTCAAAGAAGTATGTATAACTTGGCTATTTAAACAGGTTAGGGCGACTAAGCATTGTTTCTAAGACGAATGGCTTAGTCAGATGCCAAACGAAGAGAAAAGTAGTTGTGCAACCTGTTCGTGTACAACTAAGGCAAAGGGTTGGCATTGTTTCAAAGACGAATGACCAACCTCAATGCCCTATGTAAGCAGGGTATAAGGGATTAAATCATTGAGAGACTATGAACTATTGTTTGCTAAGTCGACTTGGGGTTGGTGAGGGTACTTACCTTTGTGGTTTGGCTTGCATGTGGCTGAATGAGATCACTACCTAGTCTGAGTTTCAGTTCGATAGGTAGTCGCTTTAGTGGTTCGCCACGTGCTAGAGCGATAGGAGTTAGATTCCATTCCTGCATTTTCTGAGATAGTTCTTTTTTACTTAGATCGATTTCTGCATTTTCTAAGGACTTTTCTTATGCTTGGGCTTGTATAAATCTTGGCAAACCACTTTTCCTACGGGAAGCGCTGCCGGAATTTCTGCAAATCCAAGGAGTTGGTTAAATCTAGACTTTCCAAAGCTCGACTTATTTGGATTTCATATATGGCTTAGTAGAAATCTGGGAAGTCTCCTTTTTCTAAAGAAAGTGCTGCCCAAATTTTTGCTAATTCAGGGAGTTAAACAAAATTTGAATTTGGGAAGTCAAAAGGCTACTTTGGTTTTCATATTCGGACCTGTATAAATTCTGGAAAGGCAGTTTTCCTACGGGAAGCGCTGCCGAAATTCCCTTAGATTAAAGGAGTTTAGATTATATTCTGACAGGTGGCAGATTTTAGCAATCCACTCTGTATAGACGAGATCCAGCCAAAGGTCTACCTTTTCCGTGGGCACTAACTAGAAGTAGACTTAGATCTGGTTGGCTAGCTGGAGCTTGGGTGAGCCGACGATGTAGAGGGTATTCCCCATAGGACTTACAGGCTTAGTTTTGGGCGTTGACTTGTCTTGTGTTACAGGCTAGCTTGATCGATCCGATTCAGGACTTGGACTAGGCTCAGCCCGATCCCTTGAGGATCGTCTTCTGTTATCATTGATAACAAGTCGGTTGCCGACTCGTCGGTTTACGATTCAATTCCAACTTACCCTCAATACTCGACCTAAAAAGGCTCTAGCCCTGGTGGTTTTCTGTTTTGTTAAGGTTTTACCCGAACTTTTATTGAATGGCCATTTAACAAAGGTACTGAGTATTTAATTAAGGTTGGCTGGTTGGAGGTTGGGGCTTGCATGGTTGAAGTGAGGGGTATGAGTGTCGAGGATGGTTGGGGTTGACTCCGTGTAGTGTGTGGACTGTTGTTTGACTCTGTGATGTGATTGCAGGTGTGTGTTGTGGCTTAGACTCTGGATTTGATTGCCTGCGATCACATATATACATATGGTTGTGAGGAACCCCACTGAGACTGTGAGAAGTGATCGTCACATGCTTACCCCTTTATATATGCATACATGGGTGTACCCGGGATGGATGCATGCGTAGCCTAAGGGGCCCCGTGCTAAAAGCCTACTCAGAGGTTAAGCCTGAGAGGCATAGGGGAGACCCTTTCTTTTTCTTGCTTGCTTCTTGGGGGTTTCTTAGTCGGACGTTAGTCCTGGGCTGGGATTCAAGGTCCTTGTCCAGGACATCCCAAGCCCTAGGCTCTGCAGAGGAGGAGCCTTCCCTCGCGCAGAGCCTATCTGCCTTGCCCGTCGAAACACCCAACCTTGAGGGCGGAAATGTCGCAAGGGCTGAACGACATGTCCTTCAGCAGTTCAATATCGTGAGGGGTCCTCACGATGTATTCCTTCATCCATTCAATATCGTGAGGCCGGATCCGCGACTACCATGTATGACTAGCATCGTTGGTTGGTATAGAACCGGCCTGCACCCGCGCGACTTTATAGCAGAACCCTTCGCGCGACGTTTCGCCGTTCTAATACTCAAAAGTTATGAGATCAAGGGACTCGCATGTATGCACGAATGTTTGGGATTATTATAGGCCGCCGGTACCAACCAAAGAGGGCACCCAAGGTTATGACTTTTGGGGTAGGGGGGCCTTCAGACTGTTTTTTTGCTTTTTAAAGATTTACATAGTTGGACGTTGTAGTCCGTGGTAGCCGTCAAAGTCAAACCCCTTGACTTTTGTCCAGGCCTGGAGTGGGGCCTATCTCCAGGGCAGTAAGAAACAATTGCCACCACAGGTATGGACCTGTGTACCACCCACTCTGCACAGGGTGCAGAAGAGGGTGTGTCGTCGAGAGATTAACCCTCAAAGCGCGTGTCATCCGACACTTGAGTGTCGAATGCGACCCTCGAGGTTAATGAGGACCGCCTGAGTATGGGTACTACATAGTACGTCATCATTGTGACCGCCTGCGTACACTTGCATTGCAAGTCGATATGAGTTAGCCCTACGTCTGCGCGGTTTTATATTAAGTCTCGCGCGCGACTCCTATTCGATTTCCGCATCGGAAAGTTATGGGATGACTACTGAAGGGACTAGGAGTGTTGTCGCGTTGTTGGATGTGTGTGTGTGTATGTGTGTGTGTGTGTTTTATTTTGCGTTTGTGAAGTGGTGTATGCGTGGTGAGTGGGATACGTCCTAGTCGACCGGCGACGAGTCGCGCTTGGGACCTCAGCCCCCCCAGGATTTCGGTTCGCGTGCGGGTCCGATAGAGGCGTATTACCGCGCGTACCCCCTATGCTACAGCGAACGAGAAACGCCCTCGGCTGGTCCACCTCTGCGATTGCAACTGATTAGCTTTCGTACTGTGGACTGGTAGCTCGGCGGGGATACGCCCACCGAAGGGAGGTGA